GTTGTTGTTGTTGTTGTTGTTGTTGTTGTTGTTGTTGTTGTTGTTGTTGTTGTTGAACTCTCACTTCTGAAGAATAATTATGATTGATCCCCCCCGTCCGGTGCACATTGTTTTTTTCGATTGAAGTGCCCTTCCCTTCCCGGGGCTCGCACCTAGTTTTTTATCAGGGAAAGTTTTGAGGGTCAAACTGTGCTGTTGGCCCCCGGTTTACAACAACAACAGCTCCTGCTTGATACTTCCTCACAATTTATTGAGAATCGCGCTCTCGCTGTTGACTTCCTTGCAATTTACCACCAGATCGCGGCTCCCGCTTGATATTTCCTCACACTGTATTGAAGAGTCGCGCTCTCGCTTGGGACTTCCTCGCAACGTACCACCGAATCGCGGTTCCCGCCGGATACTTCCTTACAATTTATTCAGATGCCGCTCCTCGACAGTCAGGACTCGCGCTCCCGCTACATATTGCCTGGCGGTTCAAGCAGAATTTACGCTTCAACGACCCGCCCGCTCGACCCGCCCGTCTGGGCCTGCCCGCCCGACCAGCCCGTTAGGGACTGCAGTCGCCGCTCGCTGCCCTTCGCCCGCCTTCGATGCCCCTAGATGCCCGTGCTGGTTCCGCGGTCGCCTTCGCTCGCTGCCCTTCTTGGCCCCGTTGCTGCCCTCAGTGGCCCCGTCGCTGCCCATTGTGGCCCCGCATTATATGCCCTTCGTGGCCCCCGCTCGCAGTCGCCCGTCGTGGCCCCATACGCATGCCCTTCGTAGCCCCGCTGTCGCCCTTCGTGGCCCTCTCGCTGCCCTTCGTGGCCCCTTTGCTGCCCTCAGTGGCCCCGCTGTCGCCCTTTGTGGCCCCATATACGAATGCCCTTCGTGGCTCCCGCTCGTTCGCGCCCGTCGTGGCCCCATATGCATGCCCTTCGTGGCCCCGCTGTCGCCCTTCGTGGCCCCCTCTCTGCTCTTCGTGGCCCCGTTTCTGCCCTCAGCGGCCCCGTCGCTGCCTTCTGTGGCCCCGGATTAATTGCCCTTCGTGGCCCCCGCTCGCTCGCGCCCTTCGTGGTCCCATACGCATGCCCTTCGTCGCCCCGCTGTCGCCATTCGTGGCCCCTTCGTTGCCCTTCGTGGGCCACTTTCTGCGCTCAGTGGCCCCGCTGTCGCTTTTTCTGGCCCCATATATGCATGCCCTTCGTGACCCCCGCTCGTTCGCGCCCGTCGTGGCCCCATATGCATGCCCTTCGTGGCCCCGCTGTCGCTCTTGGTGGCCTCCTCTCTGCCCTTCGTGGGCCCGTTTCTGCCCTCAGCGGCTCCGTCGCTGCCCTTTTCGGCCCCCTACACGTATGCCCTTCGGGGCCCCCGCTCGTTCGCGCCCGTCGTGGCCCGCGCCAACAACGGCTACCGCCTGATATTTCCTTACAAATTATTGAAGAATCGCGCTTCGCTTGGGACTTCCTTGCAAGTTATCACCGAATCGCGGCTCCCGCTTGATACTTCCTCACAGTTTATTGGAGAATCACGCTCTCGCTTTGGATTTCCTCGCAACCATACGCGTGCCCTTCGTAGCCCCGCTGTCGCCCTTCGTGGCCCTCTCGCTGCCCTTCGTGGCCCCTTTGCTGCCCTCAGTGGCCCCGCTGTCGCCCTTTGTGACCCCATATACGAATGCCCTACGTGGCCCCCGCTCGCTCGCGCCCGTCGTGGCCCCATTAGCATGCCCTTCTTGGCCCCGCTGTCGCCCTTTGTGGCCCCCTCGCTGCCCTTCGTGGCCCCGTTTCTGCCCTCAGCGGCCCCGTCGCTGCCCTCTGTGGCCCCGGATTAAATGCCCTTCGTGACCCCCGCTCGCTCGCGCCCTTCGTGGTCCCATACGCATGCGTTCCGTCGCCCAGCTGTAGCCATTCGTGGCCCCCTCGCTGCCCTTCGTGCCCCCGTTTCTGCGCTCAGTGGCCCCGCTGTCGCTTTTTCTGGCCCCATATATGCATGCCCTTCGTGGCCCCCGCTCGTTCGCGCCCGTCGTGGCCCCATATGCATGCCCCGTTTCTGCCCTCAGCGGCTCCGTCGCTGCCCTCTGCGGCCACCTATACGTATGCCCTGCTGAGCCCCCCGGTCGTTCGCGCCCGTTGTGGCCCGCGCCAACAACGGTGCGACATGTTGTGTTCTGGCCAACGGCGACAGCGCAAATCATCGTCCTCCCTCCTTCTTGCCCCTCCCCTCCCTGCCTCCGATCCCTTCGTCCTCATTCTCCCCTGTTATATGTTACCCTTCGATTTCAAGGGCTTCAGCAACCACACGTGGCAGGGAATGAATATACCTCACAAAAGGGGGTACGATCGAAGACGAAGAGGGCGGATATCCAGGGTTTGGGATATGCATGTTGAATGACACGCGAGCAGATAAGAGCTAACAGTCTTGAAAGGATTTTTTTTTTTTTTTTTTTTTTTGTTTCTTTGTTTCTGTTGCCTTGTTGATGATTGTTTGTTTGCCTTCAACATCCGCCTGTAGGAGGACATGACATGCCCGACCTAACACTGGGAGGACCACAAGGAGGAAGAGATGAGGATGGCGCTTCCTCCCTCCTCCTCCTCTTGAGACTCCTTTGGTCCGAAGGCGGCGTGGCCTGCGGCCCCCCAGGGCGGAAGCCCTCCGGCGCGTCGCACGTCGATGCCCCCACGAAGCCGCTCGCCCTGGGAGGTGTGAGCTCCCTGCAGTCGCTGCTTGGGCAGGCCGCGGAGGAGGAGGAAGGGGGGGAGAGGGAGGGGGAAGACCAGGAGGAAGGAGGGGGATCAGGAGAAGGGGGAGGAGGAGGAGGAGGAGGAGGAGGAGGAGGAAGAGAAGGAGGAGGACGGTCACACTTGCAGAATTCCACAGTGGACTTCCGGCAGTATTTCTCACAACACATACGCTCCAACACAGCTGCCGCCCGCATGCCGTTTATCAAATCGTTTCCTGCTTTTTCGGTGTCTTCCTCCAGTTAATTATGGCCGTGCGCTCCCTCGTACTTCACTATCTGCTCGCTTAGTTCCTCTACGCCCTTGGGGGCTCCTCGTCTTTTCCAATGTTTTTTGCCTTCTCTTTTTGCCCGCACTTTCTTGCAGCCGAACTCAGGCCAGCCATGTTGCCTGGAACGGTTGTCTTTTTTTCGCTACCATCTACACGCTGCGAGCTCCGTTGCTCAGAGTTTGGCCAACGACAAGGAAGACGAGCAGGGAGGAGGAGAAGGAGGAGGGAGACCGGAGTGGAGCTGTGAGAAGGGGAAGAGATGGGCGAAGGACGGCAGGATGATGAGGATTATTATGATGATTGTGGTGGTGGTGGTGATGACGATGACGATGACGATGATGACGATGACGATGACGATGATGATGATGAGGATGGTGATGATAATGATGATGATGCTGATAACAATGATGATGATGATGATGATGATGATGATGATGATGATGATGATGATGATGATGATGATGATGATGATGATGATGATGATGATGATGATGATGATGATGATGATGATGATGATGATGCGACTGACGATGATGATGATGACGTTGAAGCTGCTGCTGCTGCTGATGATGCTGATGCTGATGCTGATGTTGAGAATGACGTCGATGACGGCTGATCTGATCTGATGATGATGATGATGATGAGGATGACGATGCTGACGATAATGACGATGATCATGATGATGCTGTTGCTGCTGATGATGATGATGATGCTGATGATGATGATGATGTCGATTGTGATGATGATGACGATGAGGAGGCCGATGATGATGATGATGGCGATAATGCTGGTGATGATGACATTGACGATTGTGCTTATGTTGTTACTGATGCTGATGCTGCTGATGATGATGATGATGTTGCTGTTGGGTCTATGATGACGATGCTTATGATGATGATAATGAGGAGGCGGAGCAGGAGGAGGAGGAGGAGGAGGTTGATGACGACGATCACGACGACAATTATGATGCTGCTGATGATGATGATGAGGATGATGATGATTATGATGAGTATGATGATGATGATGATGATGATGATGATGATGATGATGATGATGATGATGATGATGATGATGGTGATGATGATGGTGATGCGCTGCAGATGAGGAGGAGGAGGAAGCGGAGGAGGGGGACCAATGTAAACTCAAGGCTCATCGACGATGTTGAACTACACCCTCCCTCCAAGCCCCCTGTTCATAGGCCCCTACACGGATTAATTTTTGGTCAGGGAAGTGCCCCGTGGAGGGACAACCGTTTGAAGATCCTAACGCGTGCGAAAACACCATTCTCGGGACTCCAACGCCACGAATCAACCTGACTGTTGTGGCGTGACGGTTCTAAATGGTGCCAGAGGGTCACTCTTGTGATTTCAACACCGCGAGTCCACGTAACTGTTGCGCCTTGATAGCCTTGAACCGTTCCAAACACTAGTTCTGGTACGTTTACCATGCGGACCCATGAAACTCTTGCATTTTTGCAAAAGAACGTGCCAGCGCTAAGGCGATATCCATATTTTGAAAACGACCCGCCCTGAATATGTGAATTAATTGTACATTGTGAAGACGACTGTGCGCGGGGCGCTAGGGCGGGAGCCACATTTTTGAAAACCATTCGCCCTCCGTCTGTGAAGATGTTGGTCAATTTTTCAGCGTCAGGATCGTACATTTTGAGGACGTCTCAGTCGAATCGCCCAGCCCGCCTCTTCGACTGGCCTCGGTGTGCGACATGGATGAGGTATCTGTAAGGAAATGGAGTGGAGGAGGATGAGAATTCGGAGGTGTAGATGGTGCTGGTGGTGTAGATGATGGTGTTGCTGATGATGGGTCTGCCGAGGAGTACTCGGCGGAGGCAGGAGGCTGGGGGGCAGGAGCAGGTGGAGCAGGCAGCAGGGCAGGTCGCGGTGTTGTCGAAGACGGCCGATGGCTGCCGCCGGGTGCAGGGCGCCCTGAAGAGCGCCCTCAAGCCAGATCAGAAG